ACGTCTCAGCGGCCGTCAGATGAGGGAGGCTTCGGGTTGGTTGTGGGTTTAGGGTTTAGGGTGTAGGGTGTTAGGTTTGTTTAGGGTTAAGAGTTAGGGTTTAAGGGTTTGGGGTGGTTTAGGGTAGTATGACTTCAGAGTTTCAGTTGTTAGGTGGTTGTTTTCCCTGCCAGGGTCTGGCCCTTGATGGACAAGAAGTGCTGGCTCCCAACCAAGACATTGTCACTTTGGATGCTGCGCATGCCTCCCGAAGATTCTTGAGTCGAACTTTCAAGTCGGATGATACGATGGCTAGAATCCTCGACGACTACATCCTTGGGTCGCAGAGTGTAACTAGCATCATCGCCAATTCGCCCCACCTCACTGACATTTTCACCAGTTGTGTCAAGATACTACCCAGCGAGGACAGCATCCCCGGCGACGCCTTCAATGTTGGAGTTGCCAAGCACAGGTTCAATTCAATTTCCAAAAGGTTGGGGAGATTTGTTGGGAAGCTCTGTGCGATCTTCCAGACGGCCGAAAAGATCCGCCACCTGCGCCATGGCAAGGAAGAAGCTCGACAGGCAGAGCAATTCCTTGCCAAGTTCTCGGAAGAGGACTATGTCATGCTCGCCATGATGGCTGATGCTGCTGACGAAGCCTATGTGTTCACCGCTTATTGTGATGATGAGGAAGCAGACACGTCCCTGCAGGCTGATGAAGTCGCGGCGTTTCCTTTTCATGGATGGTCAGTGCAAGCATGTTCAGGGCTACACCTCCTTTGCCATCGATCAACTCAAGCAGCCCAGAGTCCTGAATATCAGCAAAGGGAAGGTGCCGCCACCCCCCATTTTTCGTTGCCAAAGCCTGTCATAGTAACCCCTCCCTTCCCTGCCAGGTACGAACTTTCGGACTTGTGCAAGATTATGACAGTCGAGTGCAATCCTTGTTGGCCCGCTGTATGCGCAGAATGCAGGCATGGTTCACTACTACCCTTGCAGTGGTTCGGGCCGAATTCCCAGACTTTGATTTGATTCGAGCCTTCAATGCTCTGGCATTGACCAAGCAGCGCAAGACCGTTCGCAGTGCTATCGCAACTGCGCATGAAGGGACCGTGCAAGATGAGGACAACATCAAGAGGCTTGCTCAGCTTATTGGCACTGATGCCAGTCAGCTTCAAGCGCAGTTGCTCGACCATCGTCCGATTGCAAGGCACTACTTACTACTTACTACTTACTACTTACTACTTACTACTTACGACTACTACTTACTACTACTACTACTACAACAACAACAAACAACCAACAACAACAACAACAACCACAACCACAACCACAACAACAACAACAACAACAAACAACAACCAACCACCACCACCACCACCACCACCACCACCAACAACAACAACAACGACAACGACAACGACAACGACAACGACAACGACAACGACAAAGACAAAGACAAAGACAACGACAACGACAACGACAACAACAACAACAACACCAACGACAACAACAACACCAACAACAACAACAACAACATCAACAACAACAACCACAACACCACCACCACCAACAACAACAACAACAACTACTACTACTACTACAAACAACCAACAACAACAACAACAACAACAACGACAACAAACAACCAACAACAACAACGACAACAAACAACCAACAACAACAACAACAACAACTTCGCATGGAGCTGGGGTTTGCGCAGGAAGATCTTCCTCGACACATCGTGCTCAACTTTTGACGCCTGGGCGCAATGCGTTGCCAAGACTCAGGTATCTTCATCCTCTCGCAACAGACATCCAGCAGATTTGTTGCGGGTCTTGTTGGTGCACTTTGGTTGCTTGGGGATGTCATCCTCAGGTGTTGAGCAGGGCTTCAGCAAGGCCATGAAGAACATTTCTCCTCAGCAGTCCAGTTGCAACCCTGCCTTGGAGCAGCATTTGATGAAGCTGGTGCTAGATTGCACTATTATGAACACCCAGGACAAACGAGAAGTAGCAGAGGAGGCTCGCAAAGTGTGGGCTCAGCATTATGGTGATGCACGAATCCATGTGCGGGAACGGCTGGACGTTGGTAGCAGCAAGAGTAAGGAGAAGACCGAACCAGCTTCCGAGATCCAGTGGCTTCGGCAGCGCCGAACCTCAACAAGCAGTGGCGCGGTGACCTCAGCAAGAAAGGACTCCGAGATGATTGATGTGGACTCGGACAATGAGTTCATCACAGAGAAGCATCGCAAGGAGATCAACTTCAATGAGAAGAAGGCGGCCTTCAAGAAGTTTGAGGCCCTCAAGGTCAACCAGTTGCTGGCCAAGGAGAAGACGGAGGAGTTCATGGAATTCGCTGCAGTGCGGGCGGGGCAAGTCGCCAAGAGAGACAAAGAACGACTTCGTGAAGACAGGCGGCTGCAGCTTCCGGAATCTTCGGCAGGCCCTTCAGCAGAATGCTTGCGTGGCTTGCCGGTGTTTGTGGAGCCTGATGTGTCTTCAGCGGAGCTGCAGCAAGCACTGCAACGTCTGGAGATGACTGTTGCAGATACCAGGAGTGCTGCGCAGGCTTGACTGTTTGGCTTGGTGAGGATTCTGTTTTTTAAATCGGGGACCCTAACCCCTGGCCAGGTCTTTTTGACGGCTGACCCTGGCAATCCTTCCAATCGCATGCTATGGGGGGCTGTTCTCAGAGGGGGTCTCATTGCTACTCCAAGACGTTTGCTGGGATGTTCGGATTCTGGGCCCTGCATTGGCTACAAGGCCGCCTTGAAGACGAAGCGCCAGGTTTGGTTGTCTTCCGAGTTCAATGCTCGGCACCCCGCGCTAGCCACCATCATCCAGGACGCTGTTTTTCATGCGCGACAACAGAACCAGCAAGTCAAATGGAAGTTTTTGTCCTCAGAGGTGGAATTCTTGGCCAAGAAGCAAAATGTCATCAACAAAGGAAGAGCAGCAGAGGTGCTCGGCATCGGTGTGAAAAATGACAAGAAGGACTAATTAGGTTGTTTAGGGTTTAGGGGTTTAGGTTGTTTAGGGTTTAGGGGTTTAGGGTTTAGGGGTTTAGGGGGGTTAGGGTTTAGGGTTTAGGGTTTTGTTTAGGGTTTAGGGGTTTAGGATTTAGGGTTTTGTTTAGGGTTTAGGGGTTTAGGATTTAGGGTTTAGGGCTTGGTTCTAATCCCCTATCCCTAAACTCTAAACCCTCGCCAGGATCACCCAAACAAGTACATGCTCGCCGATGACGCCCTGAACTTCTTCAAGGTTGTTGAGCCTGATAGGACCTGCATGGGGGTCCGTCAAAAGTGAGGGAAGCCCCTCATGCGCAGTCTCGGACCAGCCATCGTAAGTACGGAGAAGGGTTAAAGGGTTGTAGGGGTGGACAAATCCTGCCCATTACGGAGTAAACCATGCAGTATAATACCGGCCGGGGTTGGGGTTCCCCCCAAAAAGGGTTTTAGGGGTGGACAAAATCCTGCATTACCCCATTACGGAGTATAACCATGCAGTAATAATACCTGTAGTTTACGGTTTAAAAGGTCATGCAGGATTTGGTCCGAATATGTTCGAAGGGTAATTAGGGGTTGAGGTTGAGGGGTGCATGGTTGTGATTTTACTAGATGGACAAATAATACCATGCAAGAATAGAATATATTATGTGTTATTCTTTAGGGCGCCTCATGGATAGTGGTATATGGTTGTGGTATGTATAAGGGGTTAGAGGTTTATGGACATGGACAAAATCCTGCATTACCCCATTACGGAGTATAACCATGCAGTAATAATACCTGTAGTTCAGGGCTTAAACAGGTCATGCAGGATTTGGTCCATCCGAGGGTAATGGTGGAAATATGTAGGCAACACTAGAGGCTGCTTCACTACAACAACAACTACTACTGCTACTACTGTTACTACTACTACTACTACTACTACTACTACTAACCACCACCGCCACCACCGCCACCACCACCACTTCACCACTTCGCCACCACTTCACTGTCACCTCAGCAGCAGCAGCAGCAGCAGCACCACCGCCGCCGCCGCCACCACCACCACCACCACCACCACCACCACCACCACCACCACCACCACCAGTGGGGTTGAAACTGGATTAGGGTTTTGGATTAGTCTTTCATTTCGGGATTCCATTATTCTGAGCAAGCCCTAAACCCTAAGCCCTAAACCCTAAAAGTGCACTTTGACTTTCAAATGGCGGTCACAGACTCGCTGAGTGACTGGAGCGTGCAGCTGGATGCCAGCACAAACATCTGAGTCTTTGTCGGCCATGTGATGATGCATGATTAATAAATAGTAATGTTGAAAGCTTCGCTGTCCGCCAACATGTCGTGTAATGGGAGATGTACCAATTGGGCGGGTGAGAGAGCGGCGGCGGGATTATCTTGATTCTATACGCCTTGGCTGGAGAGCCAGTGGAATTATGGAGCTAGCCTGACTGAGTGTTGTAAGCTGTGGGGCTCAGTGCCCCAGTCTTTACAACAACCTCCAGCGCATCAGTCCGTTGTTGCCCCACCCATTGTCAGCACTACGAGGGCTGCTCTGTTCACTTTGGACATTCCTCGGGGTGATTGGCTTAGTAGGGGTTACAGGCGTGCCATGCGCAGCAGGCAGTTGTAGGCAGTGGGGCCAGGCACCCCACCTCTTACAGCAATCTCATGGGCCAATCGACAGGCAATCATTGTCGTTAATTTAAAGAGCGTCGGTTGGTATTTTTCAGACTCTGACTGAGTTGACCATTGAATTGACAGGCAGCTTGGATCGGCCAGTGATGGCTCAGGGCGAGACCCAGGGCATCCGACGGTAGTGGCGCCCAGCAGTGTTGTAACTCAGCCACAAAGCTCAGAATCAATGCTGAAATTACGTAACTTTTTTTACTAGTTTCGAAAATAACTAAAGTTTTTTTTCGTGATATGTCCTGCTTATGTTTTCGCAACATTCAAATGTGATGGGTTGATTGCATGTGATGGGTTGATTGCTCTTACCTATTCCCAGGACTCTTGCCATGGCACCCAAGAAGCGGTTGGAACCAGGCGGCGCCGCTGCTCAGTCGGCGGCGGCGAAGAAAAGCAAAATGGCTGATATGAACAGCAAGCTGAACAAGGACTATTTTGCTGAGTTAGGGGTGGCAGCGGCCCATGTGATGGGCTTGCCGCAGTTCAAGAACATGCGTGGTGCCTCGGCCAATGCGATAGGGAAGGGTGGTGTGACCAACCATTTCGACGTCAATGCCTTCAAGAAAGCGGTGAAAGATGATTCATCGGGCGGCGCGTATGTGTGCGCTGGTGTCCTGCCCTGGATCAATGAGCAATGGGTGCCAATGCCTGGTCTCCCACACAACATGGCGGTGGTCAAGCGCCTTGCTGATGACATCTATCACGACCCAGTATCAAGTGCAAGACTTGGAATCCCATGAGCCATCTGGGAGCTTTGAAGCTTGCTGGCCCTTCCGAGGTCCTCCATGCCATGTGGATGGCAGCCTACAGAGACTTGCAGGATGTGTCCGCTCCTGATCATGACGATCTGGCTGCGAAGTGGTCTGCGAGATTCCTGCGCGTCACCTTCAAGTTTGTCCTTTTGAAGACAGACCTCGACATCTTCCACGCTGTTGAGAACAAGCGAGAGAAGATGATCTCCGCCGGTGCTGCTGTCACTAGCTCAGGCTTGCAGAAGGTAATCAAGGTCATCAAGTACAAGGAGAAGTATGAGGCGGATAATAACGTGCAAGACCTCAACGCTTTCCAGCTCTACAAGCACATGACAGACAACATTAAGTTCTCCAGTTACTCTGAGCCTGTGACGGAGACTTATGTGAAAGAAGCCACAGCTGTCTACGACAAAGCGCTGTCCATTTCTGCTGTTTTCGACATTGTCTCCGGATGCGAGAGCTGCTATGCACTAAATCGTGTCAACCCAAAACCCCTCAACCCTAAATCTATCATCGTGGTTTTACTGAGGTTTGGGCAAGGATTCCCCTTTCGCATATGTCGGAGCCTTGCACAAGATGGCGACGAAGGTCAAGGACCTAATCCCTAAATCCCTTCAACCCCAATCCCAATCTAATAATCGCCCCCTTGATGTCAGGACTCACAGTCGATGACCTGGCTCTTTGCAGCATGTGCGGACTGCCAGAGGATGGGGTTTGTAGAGAGTGGGGCCTTTTCCTTACGAAGCTTGCAGCCAGCAAATGGCAAGCGCGGCATCCTTGATCTTCTGCTGTTCAAGAAGACCATGCGAGATTACTTGGTTGACTCCTGGATGAACCGAAAAGCATTCCCGGATGCGGTGAAAGCATCCATTCGGCAGGTGACTGCAACCCATGCAGCATACCGGAGCATGCTGCGACCTTACAGCATGGACCTCCAGGGCAACCCCCTCGAGCCCAACCCTGTCAACTTAGAGTGGAAGAAGGGATGGCCACGATCTTGCGAGCTGTTCCTGCAGCTCGTGGAAGCAGTGGCCTTCGACACTGAGTTTGACCCCAGCCTCAAGAATGGCATCAAGAACCGAAAAGCTCCTGACGAGCTTCTTGAATATGTGCAGTTCAAAGAGAAGGTCGTTGACATCGAGACGGCGCTGGAGAAGGAATCCAACAGACCCCCAACAGAGACAGCGGCGACGGATGCTCACACAGTGACAGGTGGTGCTGCAGGAAGTACCCAGGTGCAGGGCTCGGAGGGTCAGAAGGATGATGACGAGGACAAGGTCAACTTCGATCGCCGCTGGCGGGATTATGCTGCTCGTGTGGTCGACAGCTACTGCAAGTTCTTCTCAGAGCCTCAGACGGAGACGCAGCTCGCGCAGCTTCTGAAGAACACCGACATGTCTAAGACGAGCAAGGGGGTGAAGGGCTCTGATTGTGTTGCGGCGCTTTTCACCTGTGGTTTGAGCTCAGAGGCTATCACCGACCCGCATCTCCGTGGAGCTCCATTCAAGAAGGAGAGGGTTCTCAGTTTCAGGGTTGAGGGTTAGGGTTTAGTAGGGTGTAGGGTTGAGGGATAGGGTTAGGGTTTGGTTTAGGGGTTGAGGGTTAGGGTCTAGGGTCTAGGTTTGTCTAGGGTTTAGGGTGTTGAGGGTTGAGGGTTTAGGTTGGTTGAGGGATAGGGTTAGGGTTTGGTTTAGGGGTTGAGGGTTAGGGTCTAGGGTCTAGGTTTGTCTAGGGTTTAGGGTGGTCTAGGGTTTAGGGTGGTCTAGGGTTTAGGGTTGAGGGTGTTAAGGTCTAGGGTTTTTTTTTCCCAGGACCGGCTTATCAAATGTGGCAAAGCCTTCCTGAAGGCACGACAGCATCTACATGAGAACGATGGCGGCCTTGGTCCTGCCGATGTGTTCTTCGCTTTGGACAACCAGAAGCCTGGCTTGCAGCAGAAGTTCACAGATTTCTTGAAGGATTCCAATGGCAAGAAGGATCACTTGCAAATCCGGAAGTTCACCCTGGTCTATGACTTCGACAGCGTGCGTGCGCGCAAGCTTCGGGTCAAGGGCCTTGGCACTGTGAACCAAACGGAGACGATGCTTGCGGTCACAGCCGGCGAGGCCCTCTCCATACCAATCCGGAAACACAAGCATTACTTGGACACCAACAACGGATCCATCATCGGTATGGTGAAGCTTCCGCCATACATCAAGTGCTGGACGATGAAGTATGAGCAGAAGAAGTTGTTGTATGGGAAGATGAGGGTGCCAGTGGGCGGCAAGGAAGAGCAGGATGGGGATGATAACGACGAGGAAGATGGTGAGAATGAGGTGCCTCCCACTGTGGACGATTTTCAAGCTGATGCCTCCAAGAAGCAAAGGGCATCAACTCGTGCAGCAGACAACATCGAGCCAGTCCACTATCACACCCTGCCCGAGGAGTTCTTTGACAACCTGCAGGATGTCTTTTTCGTGAAGGACCTGTATGACTTCACCCCTTCGCCTGAGGCTGCCCTTGCGCTTCTCAAGGCCAAGAAGGGCTACATTGGCATTTGCTTCAACGACTTCCACCAGAAGTTGCTTCGGGAGTATGTCATTGATAAGGTGTTGGAGTCTTTCGGCACTGCCAATGATCCGCTCTTCCATGCATCATATGCGGCCGGCTTGAAGAACACCGCCAGTGCTGTGCCAACGCCGACACCCACCCCAAAGGCAAAGCCCAAGCCCGAAGCAAAGGCGACAGGGAAGAAAGACAAGAAGAAAGACAAGAAGAGGAAGAAAAACTCATCCTCGTCGTCGTCTGACAGTGGGACCTCTGCCTAGGCTAGCTAGCCCCGACGCTGAACTCCGCTGACTGGGTTGCAAAACCTTCTCCATCTTTCATTGTTTGCAAGCTGTTTCGTCGTGCCCTTGCCCGCGTGTGAGTGGATGTCATGGCATGTGAGTGGGGATGTCATGAGTTTCTCGGCTTTAAAGCAGCTGACCAGCTCAGCCAACATGGATGATTTCGAGGAACTCCTCGAAGATGAGCTGCTTCCCCCCAAGGATTGCAACTACCCAAGGTCTCTTATGTAGTTCCTACTTATTATTTTACCATACCCCTTGGGACTCCAAAACTAAGGAATTATGTTGGAGATCTTGGTTGGCCCCTAAAACCCTAAACCTAAAACGCTTCACCTAAACCACTAAACGTGGCAGGACAGGTGCAAGAAGAAGAAGAAGCGCAAGGAGACTACAACACCCTGCCCCCAAGAGCTTTTATCCCATTCGTCGCAGGACACGCCATCTGGCGGCAAGAAGAGCAAGGACGACAAGGAGCGAAATTGGGGTTTAGGCTTCCTGGTTTAGGGTTTGGGGGTCAAAGGTTAATTACCATTACCATTAGGGTTTCTAGGGGATGTATTATCCCATCCATGGCAGGAACCATCGAAGAGAAGGAAGAAAGACAAGAAGGAATAGGGTCTCAGGGTTTTGGGATTTTAGATGTATGGTTTTATCCCATCCATGGCAGGAACCATCGAAGAGAAGGAAGAAAGACAAGAAGGTAGGGTTTAGGGTTTAGGGTTTGAAGGAAGAAAGACAAGAAGGAATAGGGTCTCAGGGTTTTGGGGTTTTAGGGTTTAGGGTTGGTTTAGGGTTTAGGGTTTGGGTTTAGGGTTGGGAGTGGGGTTCAGGGTGTTGGGTAGCCATTGTCCTACATCATATAGCCATTAAGCCTCCTGACCCCTGACAGGAAAAGAAGACAAAGCAGAGTGGCCCACCAACTCCTGACCCTGATGATGATGGCAGTGATGACAGTGATGAAGCAAGCCTAGTCTTCCAGGACAATGATGATACGGAGGACAGTGACTTTGACAATGTAGCGGCGCCTGGCCCAGTGATGGCGACTGGGCGCTCGGACGAGCGGCCAATTCTGCTTGGGACCTTCTTTTCCGGAATCGAGACGCCTTCTATCGCAGTGCACCAAGCAGGATTGTCCTCGAAGTTGATGTTTGCAGTGGAGAAGGAGAGGTCCCTGAGGGACTTCATAAGTGCCGCATTCAAGCCGCAGGTTTTGGAGAATGACATCGAAAAGGTTGACTTTCGCAGCCTTCCCCATTGCGATATCCTAGTTGGAGGTCCACCCTGTCAGTCTTTCTGCGTTGGCGGTAAAGGCTTAGGACTGGAGGACAGCCGAGGGCCTTTGTTCTTCAAGATGGTGGAACATGCTGAAGATAGGGCAGCAGCTTCATTGTCGATGCCTACGGCGATCATCACTGAGCAGGCTCCGACCATCTTGAAGAAGTATCGCAAGGTGTACAAGCAGTTGAAGACAAGATTTAAGTGTCTTGGCTTCAAGGTGAAGGCCAACACCCTTGCCACGAACGACTACGGCCTCTTGCAAAACAGGAACCGTGCCTACATTGTCGCCTACAAGCCCCTGCCTGGTCGAACGTTTTCGTTTCCCAAGCCATTGAAGAACAAGGTGCCGATGAAGTTCATGCTGAAGCGCAGGAACAAAAACACCGAACCGGCAAGCTGCTCCAGCAACCACAACAAGAAGATGCTCGAGAAGGCTCACCAATAAATCCCCTGGATTCGCCGAACCCCATGCCTGAACCCTAACCTTAAAACTAAACCTTCTCAAAAAAACTATAAAGCCCAACCTCACCTCAAGACCTTCTAAACCTTAAACCTTAGACGCTAAACCCTATAAACCTTAAACTGAACCCTCAGCCCAATCTTAATATAACCTTAAATGACTGAACCCTAACCTTACAACCCTAAACCTTCTCAGCTCAAGCCCAACCTCACCTTAAGACCTTCTACACCTTAAACCCTAAACCCTAGACGCTAAACCCTAAACCTTAAACTGAACCCTAAGCCCAAGCTTAGTATAACCTTAATGAACTCAGCTTGCAATCTACTAACCTTCCTACACCCAAACTCCTAGACCTGAAACCTTAACCCCCTAACAAATCTTACTTTTCTGACAGGCTCTGGCACAGATTCGGACGGAAGGTTTGGACCCATCCTCGCAAACGATTTTCGTGGACATCGATGCCTCAGAGAAGTTCCAGCAGTGGCGGTTGGGTGAGAGTCCGACCTTGACCCGAGCTCGGACCAGTTCCGGTGGCTGGTACATCTCAAATTATGGCCGCAGGATGGACACCGAGGAAATGCTCAAGTTCCAGGGCATTGCCTTTGGCTCGCTGCGGGGCAAGGAGAAGGTGATCAGCAGAAGGGCTCTTAACACAGCCATCGGGAATGCTATGTCGGCAAACATTCTCGAGCGACTCATTCCGAGAGTTGCCTGGGTTACTGGATGTATAGCCTCGCCTCACCCAGACAAGTGGGAGGAGCCAAACTTTGTAAAGTCCGGCGGTCGCTTCTGCTAGCCTAGCCTGAACTTGGGGAAGCACAGAGTGCTTTGAAGTGCTTTGAAGCGCTGAGGTGTGACCCACAGCGCTAAACTTAGCTTGAACTTGCGAAGCACAAGTGCTTTGGGCTTTGAGCGCACTGAGGCCTGACCCTCAGCACCAAACAGCAAAAGTGGGGAAAATGTTTTGACCTGCAGCAACGGTGAAGTTTGATAAGTTTTGTCTGTGTGGGACCCATAATTCTCGATAGCTATATCGCTTTAGAACTTGCGCTAGACATTGTAGTCATGAAATGCCACAGCCCTCCAAGCCCTGATTTAACCTGGCATCCTAAACCCCCACTACCCAAAACCTCTAAACTTTAGCTAAGCACGGGCAAGTCGAAGGATATCAACCACACCGCATGTTGATATTTCTTACACCTCCAGAGCGGACTCGGACACGCAGTGCCTTCTTCGTTGGAGGGCTCTTTCCTGACTTGCAAGCAAGCAGGAAAAGTGTCATGACGAGTGGTCAGGCACTGAAGTTCGAGGACTCTTCAAAGAGCCTCGGCCACCACGACGAGGTGCTGTACAGAGCACTCGGTTTGAAAGGAAACTTTCTCCAGAAGTTCCTCAAGGTCTTCGTCCTGG